ATAGTGACTCAACAGTAAATTATCAATTTAGACAATATATTCAATTGAGAATCTCAACGAACTAAAATTGAGTGACAAGTGTATAAAGTGTATATAGTATTTTAGGACGTGGTTCGATCCCAAAATTAAACTGTGATTTTATGAAACAGTGTTAGAATTCATTTTCCGGCCTCACCTCTGATCACACATCCACAACCACCCTAAACCTAGCTCCTCACCAAACAGACAAAAAATGTGTATTTTTACATGGCAACCATCTTTTGTTTGAAACTTTTTTTCCTATCTGCAACCGTTTCCGTGATATTATCGTTTAAATAATTGAATTATTATAAATAAATAGACCCGATCACAATGTATAAAAACCGAGTTCGGATTCGGATTCAGCACTATCGAAAACCTAGATTTCAATGATAAAATTCCATTTCTTTCATAGTTCATAGAGGAACAGGGCTAGAGAACGGAGTACTGTTTCTACTTCCACTCTAAAAAATAGCTTGAAACTTTTTTTTGGAGATATAAAATTTTTGTGAATTTTTTCAGATTTTTAAAATGGTACGTTCTTTAATCCACGCCAAAAAATTTATAGAAAATAACCGGATAAATTTAAAAATCTGAACAAAAATCAGGGTGAGTTTTTCATGGAGTAGAATCATTAAAAAAGTCGTGCAACGAATCTGAGATGGTCAGGTTTTAAAGTGGTCGAATTGACATGGAATGCCCCGTATGTACATTTTTTCTTCCACCCATTAAAATAGTGAAGCAGCAACATTTTGAAATTTAGCTGAATAATATTATATCTTGAGAGCGGAGTTACTGTTTTAAAAAATTTCAATCATGACTTTTTTTTTGTTTCGTTCTTACGATTCTTCATATAATTCAGCAATTATTTCTTAAGATTACATAATGAGACTATAATTTCTTACTCTATTATTACATAATACTCTCTTTTAAACGTTCCTTCTTCTGACTGTATTGTGACTCTCTTATCGAGTTCGATCTGGCCCTGAAAACTGATTTGCGATCCACTGTATACGTTCCATTCGAACTCTCGTCAAATTCATCGTCATTCGTTTTCTTTTTTCTAAATCCTCATTCTCATTGAATTTTTCGATTTTTTGTCTCTTCTTTTCTGTCCACATACGTATGTATTTGTTACGTCTGGAGACGTATCGCATTTTTATTGAAATGAAAGAAAAATTGATAATGATTGAAAAATAATGGAATTAGAAAATGATGAATAATACGTGGTTTCAAAAAGCATTTCGCATTGGAGGTAATTGAAAGCAAGTCTCACTTTTAATCGATATTACTCGTGAAAATATAAGAAGGAATTTAATGAAGAAAAAAAGGTATAAAAAAGAGAATAAGTTCATGTAACGATCATGTGATCGTTGGGTGGCAACACTTTGAATTGTCTCCAAGAGCGTTATCACCAGGAGGTTCAGGTATCCGTGCCGAGGTGTACTTTGGTGCATCGACATCATGTCATGCCACCTCCTTTGACAAACACATCAGAATTCATACACATACATTAATTAGTACATCCTCGCAATCCGAGGTAATAAAAGAGTGCTTCGTCGATGCACCCCCAAAGTTAGCTCCCGCCGTTCTTCGTTCCGGGTCATTTCTCGCGTCGTCTAAACCATTCAAAAGTTGAAGAATTTGGTCCTTCTTCTTACTTCTCTCTTCAAGAGAAACTAATTAAGGTGTGAACTTCCGTTCCGAAAAATTGTAAATTTTTTTTACGGGAAATTATTGTGAAATCTAACCAACCGAATATTGGATTACTTCAAGAAACTACAACAAAATGGATGAGTAAAACAAAATAAATAATAAATTTGATTTAAATCGGGAAATGACATGGTAAAAAGTTAAACGGTTTCAAAAATTCAAGAAAAAAAATCAATAATTATTGAATATTTGAGAATTTTAGTTCGGGGAACTCAATATAAAAAAAAAAGTTTCAATTCTTGATGTAAATTTTCGCGTTGATTCGAGGGAAAAATTTTATATTGTATGACAATTTATATTCAAAATTGGTGAAAATTAATCCATTTGTAAATTGTTTAATTCAAAGAACTTAATTTAAATAAATATTGACTTCATTTATTGTGAATTTTTATCCTCTATTATTCTAACAATTCACTCGACTCCAATCCTGAGCTATTACCGAAAGGTAGGCTCAAAATAGGAGAAAATAACTGTCATAATTTTCAAAACCCTCGCCATCGCCAATCATATTGCCGATTTTTCCTGTGGTTGTATATGGAAAAATATGACTTCTCAAATATTTTCAGATTTTTTGAGGCATCCTGTGGGCAGCCATGTTTTTTTGCAAGTTTTATCTTCAAATGCCTGTAACTTCCGTAAAAATCAACCGATTTAATTTTTTTTTTTTGCAAAATGTGCGTCTTCGAACACACTTTCCATATAAAAATATGCCAATTTTTTTCATTTCGTTCTTCCACCGATTTCCTCAGGAAATCTTCAAAAAACTTCAAAAAACGCGTCGTTTTCAAAGTTGGACCCTTTTTATATTTTTCAAAAAATTTCAGTGAATATATTGGACCAAAATAAAATTTTTCACCAAAGACCAAAGTGGGATCTCTACTAGAACACACCACTCGGAAAGATTTATTGTTAACGAATTTTCAAAAAATCATCAAATCGTTCCAGATTCGAATATAATGCAGTGATTCTTCAGGCGGTAAATTCAAGTATTCCTTCTGCGTTTAAATGCGAAAAGAATTTTGAAATTTTGGAAATTTTTCATCCCGGATTCATATATTTCAATTGGAAATGACGGCCACGAAATGGGAAGTCCACTTTGGCCTTTGGTGAAAAATTTTGTTTTGGTTCAATATATTCACTGAAATTTTTTGAAAAATATAAAAAGGGTCCAACTTTGAAAACGACTTGTTTTTTGAAGTTTTTTGAGGTCTTTCTGAGGAAATCGATGGAAGAACGAATTGAAAAAAATTGGCATATTTTTATATGGAAAGTGTGTTCGAAGACGCACATTTTGTAAAAAAAAAAACTCAAATCGGTTCATTTTTACGGAAGTTACAGGCATTTGAAGATAAAACTTGCAAAAAAACATGGCTGTCCACAGCATGCCTCAAAAAATCTAAAAAAATTTAAGAAGTCATATTTTTCCATATACAACCACAGGAAAAATCGGCAATATGAGTGGCGATGGTGAGGGTTTTGACCTGGGTGAATTCACATGGAATACCCCATATACCCTTTCATACAAAGTTTTTGAGATATTCCCGTTTTTCAGTTTTTTCATAAAAACCTTTTCAACACTATAACTTGTGCAAAAATCGAGATATCAGCTTGAAATTTGGGCAGAATCTTCCTTTCTCGATAACAATATTTCCTATTGAAGCTGGGTTCGATCGCATCAGTAGTTTCGAAAATATTCGACTTTTTTTCGAAAATCTATCGCATGGAATTATCGAATTCATCTTCAAATCTACGCAACCGATTTCATTTTTTTTCTCAAAACATGGATTTCGATGCCTTCTGTCTAGATCAATTAAAACATATATACCAGTGTATACAAAGTTTTCGAGCGGCACAGAGGGAAAAAAATATATATTTAGATGAAAATAAGTATAAATGCGACTCAATTTGTAAGCGTAAATCTTAGTGTCCATCTAGTCCATTCATTTACTAGCCACTGCTTAACTGCATTTCATACATAAACAACATAGCATCACAGAGCAGCCGAATTCACTTCCAAAACTCTGAGTACTGACAACGTTCTCAGGTGCAAACAAGGTTCTTATCAAAATTCTCTCATCTCCCTTACATTTCAAGGAACTAACCAAAAACTGCAAAGTGGACTGTTGTCACTGACTTAACCTCGATTTATCATTTTTTACAAAGAAGTTATAAAAATTATTATAATGACATTTTTCATAGCCCTTGAAATTCTCTGCAAAAAAGGTCTCCATCAAAATTCTCTTATCTCCCTTGAATTACAAGATAACGAAAACTACAGTGTAAACTGATGTCACTGATTTGACCCCGAATTCTCATTTTTCAGCTCACATTAGGTGAAAAAAAGGTGTCTGAATTTCACTCTATTTTCGTTTTTTTCGTACCGTTCCATTTTGCCCCGACAAAATCTATGGTTTCATTTATTTATTTTTTTAATCTTCGTGACTTATAATTTGAATTGAAAAAAAAGTTTTTAGAAGAAAAAAAATTAATCTTCAATATCTCCGACAATAATTGAGTTAGAGAGCTCCGTTTGCGCTCCTTTTTTTTCTTTTTGAATTGTACTTTTTGATAAAAAAAATAGACAAAAACATTTGAAATTTTGAGGCAATTTTTCGTATACAAAATTAGCGGATTCGCTCATATATAGGGGAGGGTGGGGCAAAACGGCCCCCCTTCAATTGTCAATAACTTGTGAATGACATTATGAAAATTCCCAGTTTCAACTTCATTTTGAAGATAATTTTTCATTCTTCAAAACGAGCTCTAACTCATCCCAATCGGATTATTGAATCGGAAAATATTGACGATTGAAGGGGGACCGTTTTGCCCCACCCTCCCCTATTGTTATAATTACCCAAATTTGAAATTGACGTCATGGTCCAAAATTGTTCACTCCTATATCGCAGAGCCAAAAAAAAGAAAAAGAAGGCGAATTCGAAAATTTATTCCTCAATATGAAAATTGATTTACAATCATAATTTTTAATAGATTTATTTTGATTGATACAGCTTGCTTTCTTATTTTTCATTAACGTTATAATATGTAGAAACAATGAGAAATCAATTCTCGAAATATTTACATTTTTTTTCTTGATTTTTCTTTTCGGCTATGCGGCACACGATTCAACAATTTTTAAATATAATTTCCATCAATAATTCCATTTTATGAAAACTATATGGTATGGAATTTATTGATTAAAAAAAAAAAGAAATAGGTACAGCTCACATGTTTCCATGATTAAAAGTAAATTTCCTTTTTTTCCTATTCAGACGAAGATGACTACTGGCGCTACCTCAACCAAACCAACTCTCGTCCTCCTTCAGGAGTAAACATTACAGCCGCTACAGCAGTGCTCGATCCAGATTCAAACATAATAGATTCCAATGTCTCACCCACACAATGGGATTACCTCGAAAAGTCCACTGACAATATACCCCAGCGATTCCCCAAAAATTCATCGAAACCGTCCGAGAAAGGAGGTTCTAGTAGCGAAAATTCCCTCGAAGATCCCTCAGATTTAGAAGCCTCAACGAAAGTACGAAAGAAACGACCCTTCCTGGGACCGCCAAGGAAACCAAAATCAAAAAACATTTTTTCTATGAGCTCCTCGCCGTCCACAGTAGAACTGAATGCCCATTCACCATCCCGTGACGCCGCGTCTCCCCAAAATTCTCCAGATCAATCGCCATCTCGAGTTTCGATTTTTCGGATACCTCCCCAGGATTCAATGAACAGTCCAGAATCTGGAAAAGTCAAGAAAAGACGCCCTCAGTTAAGGAGACAAACTCTGAAGCGAGTGGACCACAGCATAGCCACATCAGACAATTTTATTTTCCTACCTTCTCAAAAATCCAGAAGAAGCATCATCAGACCTCGATCCACCTTCTTCAACAGATCTCCAGGGAGGATAGAACCTAAATCAACCTGCGCGATGGAAAGTAATTCTCAGGAAGGCAGTGCTAGCGATACTGACTCTAATGAACTCATTTTTCAACCCCGAAAGATATTTGGGCATGTAAAGAGTTTCAAAGTATCGGAGAATTCCTTTGCTGCCATTCTCGATGACCCTGAAGAACAAAATCAAACTGTTGAAGTTTCCTCAAAGGAGAACAATAAAAGCCAGCGTAGGAATAATGATTCCGGCAATGTGGCGTTGCAGATAACTCCAATGAACACTGAAGAGCGGTCGAAAGTAATGAATCAATTCAACAACTCTAAAAAGCATTCAGGAGAAATAGATGAAGTCTCAGAATTTAGTATTTCAGAAGAGTTGAAAGTTAATAGGTCGAAATTAGCTTCAGAGCAATCTAAAAGAATTAAACGAATCCGCTATGTTGTTGACGATGAGGAGAAATCTTCTGGTGATTACCAGAGCTTTGAAGATCCAGAACTAAATATTAATACCGGTCAAAAGACAGTAATTAGTATCCTCGAAGATAACCAGAAGGTTTCCAGAGGATCCAATAATAAAAAAGTTCCTGAAAATACAAACAATACGAGAGATGGTCTAGGGAAAAAGAGTTCCGTTGAAGTTCAAAATATAAATGACTCCAAGACATTCAGGCGATCCGGAGTATGTCATATTCCGTCTGATAAACGTTTGGTCCATCAGTCATTTATTTTAGGAGAACCAGGAGACCCTGAACAGGTGGAAACGTTTTCAATTAATCCGAGTAGATCTATGTGCTCTTTTAAGGCTCGATCCGCTTGCTTAGAACGTTCCTCATCTCCTATAATTTCTGCGGTAATGTCTCAAGATGTGAAACAACATGAACGAACTCAAGAATCCATGAGAACAGATGAAAGAGATGATAATCGAACATTTTCATGTAAAAATTTGAGTATCACCAAAACTTCCTGCAATGAAGTTTCATTAGATTGCACGAAAAAAGAAACCATTAACAAAAACGAAACTCAAATGGACCGTTCAGCCGCATTTAGATATCCTCAATTAAAAGAACATGATGATCGGAAGGAAATCAATTCGGATGGAGAAATTAATTTCGAAACTGAGGAGAATAATTCAAGAAATCATAGAGATCTTGTATCAAATTCTGAGAAAGCAGAAATTAGCAATGAGATTCAAAATAGAATAAATTGCCCTGTTACCAATCGACAATGTCGATCAAAAGGACAGAACGAGCAACAAAAAACCCATTCTGTTATTGAACTAGATATGGAAACAGTCGTTGAAAACGAATCAATCTCCTCTCAGAATAAATTTGATGTCTCAGGATGGGAAATCCATTCTCTGTTGATAGACAGCATCAATTCTATCACTGTAAATGAAAAAAGACTTAGAGAATCTAATAAAAATATGACTGGCATTACTAAGCGTACTTCACAGCCTGATAACTGCATTCATTCTGGTCGAAAATCCCCCAAAATTTTCGTCCAGTACCCCGAGAGATCTCTGAATAACCCTAAATATGTTCAAAGTCCGAATCAAAGAGAAGTAAAAAAATCCAGTAGTAACAAGAATTGCGACACATCACATCCTCCTACTCTCAGCCCGTTAAAATCCTTCTCGGAACTTTCTGCAAGTAAACGACGACTGTTGAAAGAGTCTGAGAATGCTGAAATAGTACAAGAGGATAAAATCCAGCAACGCCCAGGTCCCAAATCCTTTAAGGAATCGCAAAGGTCGTTTTTATCGAACTCAAAATTTTTCAACACCTCAAAAACATCGGCAGAAACACGTGACCCTATTCAGGAACCAGAATTAACGTATAATGAGATAGAAAGTCTCAAAACAACCGATCCTTCTCTTTATCAACTCCCCCCCCAGCAGAGAAGTTCTTCAATCAGTATATCAGAGTCCGAGCGCGAGGGTGCAATGGTTTCGCCAGCTGCAGCTTCTAGAAGACTAGCAAAACCGATGAAACCTTCTATTGTTGCCAACGAAACTCAGATGAACAGAATAAAATATAAACGGCGAGAAATAGAATCCGATGACGAGGAGCATCAACCTCCATCTAAGAAGCTTCTGTCTGCATCTCCAAGGTTATCAGTGCCTTCAAGGCATCCAATACCTTCTCAATTTATTGGTGTTCATGCACAAGAAGACGAGAATACTGTGCCAATGAATATTCAAATGGAACCAACACCTTCAACGTCAACCAGAGTTCAAAAGAACGGTGGAAGCATTTCTGCAGCTAATCCACTAGTGAAGCAGATGAAGAATTCTAGACATTTAAAGAATGATGCCCTGTTGAAACATAATAACCATCAAGTTCTTCAAAAATCCGTAACTGTAAGTGCTCCTTTCAATCCGGAGGAATTTAAGAGAAAGCTGAAAGAAAGTAAACAAGTTCTGGAGAGGATGAGATCTAGGGAAGAAGAGGTTGATTGTAAGAGAACTGAGAAGAAAAAGGAGAATGTAAACAAGGTGGCGACGGGTTTTAAGGAGTTGAAGAAGCAAAAAAAGCCAGAGAAACTTCTGGATAAAGCTTACATTGTTAATGGCAAAATCTATAAGAGACCAAATCTCCCTAGACCTAAGCACTGGGCTACCAACAATCTGTATAAATTCCTCTGGAAGAAGATGGAACCCAAGTTTGGGGAGCAATACAGAGTTAAGTCCGAGAAGTTCGTTGTGGAACTCGATGAAGTCATGACTGTTATTATGAGGAGGAGGAAATACGAAAGCTATAAGGGGGAACTAGCCGGCTTGTTGAGAAAAATGGCTGAATTCGGAATAATTGAATCCAGACACGATTTCTATGGCTTCTGTTTCGATTTCTTACCTTTCGAATTTAGGATCAAAGTAGTGCCTATGTTGCAAGCTGGCAATACTCATAATATTCCCTTTGAGCCTGAGAAGCTGATGGAGCCCATTCTGGGGTAGAACTAATTAAAGTTTATAAAATTTACTTGATTTTTTTTCTACTTCATCTGGTTAAATTGAGCGTATCTGATAAATATAATTATATGGAATATTTTCCTTCATTCAGATGTAAAAGCCAGTTACTGGATAATTGATAATAAACAGAATAACATGATGACGGTTCGAGAGTTACGACGATGAACAATTAAACTGACTTTCCATTTATTCCGAGATAATCATAAAACATAATCCAATCAGAAATAAAAATTTTAAGGGAAAGAGGATTCATACTCCTTTGATTTCGTTCGGAAAGAAATCTTATGTTCAAAGTACTTGAAATAATAATGAGAAAGAGGCGAAAGTAGAACTTGAAAATTAATTGAATTGATTAAAATAAAAGTGGCGTATGTTTGGAACTACACTTTGAATATCAATCATTACGCGTATTTGATCTACATATGGGACATTCTATGTCTACTCATCCACCGCGAATTTTTTTTGTCCAGAAAAAATGATTTGATTGCCGCATTTCGAACTACTATATATTGTGACGTAATTTCCTGAGGTTCACGGAACCCTCGATCCACTACGTAGCCCTTCGACACACGACAACCCTGAAACAATAAATAAGTCGAGCGCCAGGTCGTTATTACCAGAACGACCACTGGAACGAAACGAACAACCAAAATCAGAATTTCCAGATTAATCCCAAGCTTCGAAACGGTCTCTCGCTAACTCAGACCGAAGAACGGCGTGAAGTTCACTAGTGAAGCTTAGATTAAAGTGTAACTAGGTATTAACCGAATAAATAAATTTAACTCAAAATTACGGGGGAAAATCAAAATATTTAATCAGGCTTAGATGACTCGATGCAATAAAAAAAAATTAATTTTCTTGAAAACCCCCTTTGGTTATTTCGATCGATCAACGATCATGAGGTTTCGATAGTTACTAAATCTACAATTGTCAAAGGAATAAAAATTCTGATAGGAAAATAAAGAAGTAACATACTCAGTCAATTTAGTCAAAAGAGATTCCGATAGTTAAATTGAAAGATCTAACCATCCCAAAAAGTCAGAAACAAATAATGTCAAAGAGAAAATGAAAATCAGAATCAAGATATTGTCAGTAATAATCATGTAGATTGAACAACACTGAACGATCGAAACCCAAGAATTCGTCCACGTGACAAGTAAAGCTGGCTGTCCGAAACAAATACGAAAACCCAAGACAACGGGCCAGCGAAACGAAGCAAGGTCACAAGACACAAAAGAAACCTACGTTCAATGTCCTTCATTGAATATTAACCGACAGCGCGAGTGTTCGTCTAACACAAATTCATTTAGACGCAACACTAACTAATTTTCCAAGTATCATTTCAAAAATAAAATATTCATAAAATAACTATCGCTCACAACATGAAACACGAGAGCCCAAAACTCTACGAAATAAATCAATGTCGCGAGACAACCGAAATCGAATGATCAAACACATTAACTCCAAATACGCACGAGAGAGAGACAAAAGAGACCCACAAATCAATTACTGATCTGAGTGATAAGGACTCTATCTGGCAATCATTTCGAAACTCTAAAAGTCCTACGGGACTAAGATGCACAAAACATTTGTTCAAAACTCTAAACTTGGCCAGAGTCCTACTCACGACAAATTCACACAGATGCGTCATACAGAGTTGTAGCCATCCCGCTCACCCAGCAGTCCACCTCGGCGTCTCCGGAAAACGTCTCCAAAAACTCCTCCAATCCGAGTCCTCGGGACCTTCCTCCAGACAAATCCACTCGGGGCTTCCTGCACAGGTTTATTTCTCCTTCCAGAGCGCCTTCAGGCTCCCCAAAACTCCGAAACTAACGCAATAAAACTCCAAAAATTGAGCAAATACAATGTATGGCGAAACCACCAAACGGGTGGTTATGAGGTTCCTTTATGAGGTTCGTTTCCCCAGCGACACCACGCTGGACCGGGAAAACGCGGCAACGACGCTCATTGGCTACTCGAACCGTTCACTCCTCCAATCCGTTTCCAAACGGCTAGAATCTGTCGCTCACATGGCCGAACCAAGTCCGTCGGCGCATGCGCAGTGACTTCTCAAACGTTATTTATTCAAAAACACCTTATCCCAAAATATCAAATAAATCCGAACGTCCTCTGACATCCTTCCAAATCATTCTCCAGACCATTCTGTTCCNTTAATCCCAAGCTTCGAAACGGTCTCTCGCTAACTCAGACCGAAGAACGGCGTGAAGTTCACTAGTGAAGCTTAGATTAAAGTGTAACTAGGTATTAACCGAATAAATAAATTTAACTCAAAATTACGGGGGAAAATCAAAATATTTAATCAGGCTTAGATGACTCGATGCAATAAAAAAAAATTAATTTTCTTGAAAACCCCCTTTGGTTATTTCGATCGATCAACGATNTCTCTCATCACGAACTCGAAGTGTCCCGAAGTCTCGACGATTCCCGCAGACGTTGCCACCTCAGTCCCACGATGTCGGCGCCAGATTCGATTCAAACAAAACACGAGGAAATACAAAATAAAATAATTAACAAAATATACTAAACCTCTCTCGTGACTCGCTGTCGGTTGGTGACTTCCCGTCTGGTGATTTTTAAATTAGAAACCCACACTCGAAACGGTCGAATAAAGGAATACTATTTCTGACAGAAAATAACATGTCACAATATAAACAGTATTCCTGCNGATATTGTCAGTAATAATCATGTAGATTGAACAACACTGAACGATCGAAACCCAAGAATTCGTCCACGTGACAAGTAAAGCTGGCTGTCCGAAACAAATACGAAAACCCAAGACAACGGGCCAGCGAAACGAAGCAAGGTCACAAGACACAAAAGAAACCTACGTTCAATGTCCTTCATTGAATATTAACCGACAGCGCGAGTGTTCGTCTAACACAAATTCATTTAGACGCAACACTAACTAATTTTCCAAGTATCATTTCAAAAATAAAATATTCATAAAATAACTATCGCTCACAACATGAAACACGAGAGCCCAAAACTCTACGAAATAAATCAATGTCGCGAGACAACCGAAATCGAATGATCAAACACATTAACTCCAAATACGCACGAGAGAGAGACAAAAGAGACCCACAAATCAATTACTGATCTGAGTGATAAGGACTCTATCTGGCAATCATTTCGAAACTCTAAAAGTCCTACGGGACTAAGATGCACAAAACATTTGTTCAAAACTCTAAACTTGGCCAGAGTCCTACTCACGACAAATTCACACAGATGCGTCATACAGAGTTGTAGCCATCCCGCTCACCCAGCAGTCCACCTCGGCGTCTCCGGAAAACGTCTCCAAAAACTCCTCCAATCCGAGTCCTCGGGACCTTCCTCCAGACAAATCCACTCGGGGCTTCCTGCACAGGTTTATTTCTCCTTCCAGAGCGCCTTCAGGCTCCCCAAAACTCCGAAACTAACGCAATAAAACTCCAAAAATTGAGCAAATACAATGTATGGCGAAACCACCAAACGGGTGGTTATGAGGTTCCTTTATGAGGTTCGTTTCCCCAGCGACACCACGCTGGACCGGGAAAACGCGGCAACGACGCTCATTGGCTACTCGAACCGTTCACTCCTCCAATCCGGTTCCAAACAGCTAGAATCTGTCGCTCACATGGCCGAACCAAGTCCGTCGGCGCATGCGCAGTGACTTCTCAAACGTTATTTATTCAAAAACACCTTATCCCAAAATATCAAATAAATCCGAACGTCCTCTGACATCCTTCCAAATCATTCTCCAGACCATTCTGTTCCCACAAGACGATTCAACTCAACCTCCTTCTGATTTTGGTGAAATCCTCCACTTCCCCTTCCGCATTGAACCAGTCGGACTCGTACGTCACGTTTTCCCTAGAGTCGCCCGAGAGCTGGCGACCTCTGGCAATCCGAAGACCCATGAGGTCTCTCATCACGAACTCGAAGTGTCCCGAAGTCTCGACGATTCCCGCAGACGTTGCCACCTCAGTCCCACGATGTCGGCGCCAGATTCGATTCAAACAAAACACGAGGAAATACAAAATAAAATAATTAACAANATAACTATCGCTCACAACATGAAACACGAGAGCCCAAAACTCTACGAAATAAATCAATGTCGCGAGACAACCGAAATCGAATGATCAAACACATTAACTCCAAATACGCACGAGAGAGAGACAAAAGAGACCCACAAATCAATTACTGATCTGAGTGATAAGGACTCTATCTGGCAATCATTTCGAAACTCTAAAAGTCCTACGGGACTAAGATGCACAAAACATTTGTTCAAAACTCTAAACTTGGCCAGAGTCCTACTCACGACAAATTCACACAGATGCGTCATACAGAGTTGTAGCCATCCCGCTCACCCAGCAGTCCACCTCGGCGTCTCCGGAAAACGTCTCCAAAAACTCCTCCAATCCGAGTCCTCGGGACCTTCCTCCAGACAAATCCACTCGGGGCTTCCTGCACAGGTTTATTTCTCCTTCCAGAGCGCCTTCAGGCTCCCCAAAACTCCGAAACTAACGCAATAAAACTCCAAAAATTGAGCAAATACAATGTATGGCGAAACCACCAAACGGGTGGTTATGAGGTTCCTTTATGAGGTTCGTTTCCCCAGCGACACCACGCTGGACCGGGAAAACGCGGCAACGACGCTCATTGGCTACTCGAACCGTTCACTCCTCCAATCCGTTTCCAAACGGCTAGAATCTGTCGCTCACATGGCCGAACCAAGTCCGTCGGCGCATGCGCAGTGACTTCTCAAACGTTATTTATTCAAAAACACCTTATCCCAAAATATCAAATAAATCCGAACGTCCTCTGACATCCTTCCAAATCATTCTCCAGACCATTCTGTTCCCACAAGACGATTCAACTCAACCTCCTTCTGATTTTGGTGAAATCCTCCACTTCCCCTTCCGCATTGAACCAGTCGGACTCGTACGTCACGTTTTCCCTAGAGTCGCCCGAGAGCTGGCGACCTCTGGCAATCCGAAGACCCATGAGGTCTCTCATCACGAACTCGAAGTGTCCCGAAGTCTCGACGATTCCCGCAGACGTTGCCACCTCAGTCCCACGATGTCGGCGCCAGATTCGATTCAAACAAAACACGAGGAAATACAAAATAAAATAATTAACAAA